TCCCGCAATGCTGCAGCAAGAGGCGGGCGAGACGCTTCCGAGAAAGTGGAAAAATTGCTAAAATATTTACACTAATACCACTTCGCTCGTTGTGTTTTTAAACTCCTTGCGGATTCCGCTGTATATAATATAAACTCGCACCTTAACCCTCTATCATTAGTTTAATCATTTTAAAACACTAAATGATTCATCGGACAGAATGAAAATTCCCACACAGCGAGATTATAATTTATTCGTCTGAATAATCTTGGTCCGGGTTTTTTTTATTTTCGAAACTGTACACATTTACCGTGGATATCACCTCGTGGGTGTCGAATCCGAAGCATTTTTACAGGAAAATCTCTCACTCCTTGTGGAATGTAATGGTATATAATATAAAATGGTCAGATATTTCTTTTTTTTTGTTGTTTTTTTGAAAGGCGACGACTGTATTATAAGGGTCGCATTGCCACGGACTCCGGTTGTCAGATGTTGCAGTAATAGACGCAGTAAATAGTCGCAAATTGTTGACATGTTATTATGAATATTTTTTTTATCGTTTTTCAAAGTAAATTCAAAATTCAGAGTCCCGCAATACGGGCTGAATAAAGTTTTCCTCTTTCGAATTTAAATAGAATGATCAAACTTGGACTATTCCTCGAGGCGCGATCGCTTTTCATGTAAATTCGTTTTTGTCGGTTTGGCCGTCGAAATGGTTTGATTTTATTCTTTCCGCACGGGCCAGTTTATGTGCGATCGCGGCCTCGGCAACTGTAGAAATTGACCGCATTTTTACCCTTTGATAAATAGCGCCGACTTCGTCACCCTTAAATGACTTGTATTCTGAAATAGCGTCGAGGGGTCATAATATGCTGACAACGTGCATCAAGCATATTATAATATGCACTGGCACAATGAAGTGCGCGATTCAACGATTTCTTTAGGTTGAAAAATGAAGTCGACAAAACGCTACAGCTGCTGGATATAGTGTTTCAATATTAACATTGTATATCCGTTTGTTCGCCCATGTCGTGTGATATATAGGTGTGGGGAGCTTTTTTTTTTAATACACACGGCCACCTATTCAATTTCACAACTGACCCAATTCAATATAACAAAAAATTAAAAAAAAAAGCTTGGTGTCTGTGTTTTTTCAATTTATTATTTTCGCTTTGCCATAAATATAATAATGTACATATTATTATTATTAGGTATTATATTTATTAGCGTATTTTTTTTTATGTTTTTTGAATTAAAAAAAGTAATCCAACTCGTATACATGGAAAAAAATAAAACACATCCCCGATTGCACAACTTTTTTCCCAAACTTTAAATTAGATCAAGTAACTGGATATTTGATGGGCTTTTAGATGTTTTATCGCATAGCGTTTTCACAAAAAATATTTATTGTGAATCGATGACGCGTGACGTGTGCGCGCTACACATTTTATATGCTTACACGCGTATGCTGTCAGTATAAACGTCCCGGCGAGGGAGTCGTCCGGACACTTTCTCGGGTGCAGACTCGAGTTTAAGTTTAAAATATATTATAAACATAATAATTTCAGTTGCATTTCACGCGTTGAACATGTAATATATTATATTATACTCTTTTTATAGGGGCGTGACCGTGTACGAAACAATTTGCTTCCGCCGCGTGTGTGCTCCCGTTAATCATTGTACGCGCGTTCCATATACCACTTTTACAACAGACCCCTCCCCCACTCCCCCACACACACACACACACACACAAACGCACAAAATAGTGATTACAATAACGAGACTAAGAACAATGTGAATCAAAACAATATAGGTATAGCTGGTCTTATAAAAATTTCAACTCGATATATTGTTTGGGAAAAAAATATTGTCGTACTAGCTGTCTGTTACACTGCTGTATAGTTGTAGTGAAATCTCGGTCTTACTCACCGAATGAGTAGGATATTTCAATAGAAATGAAATAATAATATACTCTTTTGTTCGGATGACCGATGTTTCTTTTCAATAACTTTGAAAACAATATTTTCTCAATCTTATAGTAATTTAGTTTTTAAAAAGCTTAAATCATTCCATTCACAGTTCACGGTTTGGTCGATAATATCTGAGATGCGCGTTAATCGTATAATTCGAATTATAACTTATATATTATTTTATAAGAAGTCATCAGTAAATTGGAATTACACGAATATTTAGAAATGTACTTTGTTGAGCGCGTTAGTCTGTATATTATATAGATTGACGATGCAGTTGAAATTATATATTCAATATGCGTCTAGAGAGGAAATTGACTACATGTTGTTTTTAATTTAAAAGAATACTGGGTCGTATATTTATTTTTACGTTTTTATAAGTATTTGGTGTACACGAACAACTTATTATACATCGTCCTTTATTTTTACTAAAAGTATTAAAATTTAAAGACCAAAAGGACTTGTAAACAAATTAAACCCCGTGTTTTCATACGAAATCCCAATTAATAGTTCAAATTTTTCGAAGTGTGAGGAGAGTTTAACAATGTAATGCAAATATTTTAGTTGACTTAATTGTTGTTCAGCGAATAAACCTCAAAAATCTTTGAAACTATTATGATATAATAATATACTTGGCTTCAAAAACTTTCCGGTCCACCGAAAAATTGAAGTTTCGTGGAAATTACTGTATACCGCTGCACCGTAGTTAAAATGAGAAAATCAATACGTATACATAAATCGTATATATTCAATTTTAGGTGTAGAAAATAATAAATAAAACTCTTGTAGTAACGTGTATCTCATATTATTATATAGAATCCGAACAAAATTTTATTACCACGTTTATGTCGTTAAACCCAAAACACTATTAGATAAAGTAACCGCAGACGTGCGAGTGGAGGGAGTACGAGGATCCCCGAACATGTTTATTTATTGCGATATTTGTGAGAAAAAAATTTGCACATTACATAACGTATAGTGGTCGCATTTATAGGACGACACGGGCAAAGTTTAATACAGAAATACGCGTCTGAAATATAATAATATCCTCGTCGTATTCTATATATAGCTACTATTTAAGGGCGGTGGTCAGAGAAGTGGTCGCACGATATGGACCGCGGTTTCCGATTCGGTGAAAAATTGACGTGTGCGCTCACGTACACCCACATAAAATATATACCGCGGTATTACCGGTTAGAATTACGACGTCTGCAGCAGCAGTAGTCATACTAAGCGCATATAACTATATTATGAGGTTGTGCGCGTACCTATGGCTATACGGTAGGTATTTGGTATTTTTTTTTTACGACGTAAAACGTATAAACGGATACGAGAACTGTGCACATCATTTCGGAAATGTGCTGATCGCGAAGAATTGTCGGATAAGGAAAAAACTATTTATATATATATATATATCACTCAATAATATTGTATATCCGTAATATAGAAACCGGAGGAGGAATAAACCGAAACATGGTGTTAAACCGTATGATTTCGACGGCGAAAACGCGTATGTATTAAATGGAAATATAGTACACGAATAGGGCGTTTTGGTTTTTACATATTATTGTCCATGAAATAATTGAGTGAGTTATTCATTCTGCAACTATATATATCACTGTGAACAATATAGTATAGGGACACAGGGTTTCCAGGGTTTCTGCATACCGGTATATACGGTATTTTAGATTTAGAATACCAATATACCGTGATTCGGTAAATACCGTATACATTTATTACTTAAAATGTACGTAAGTGCAGATCAGGCATCTTGTAATAATTTCAAACATAACGTTAAAAAATATATATATGTAAGATTTTCCTGGGCTGAAACAACGATTACCGAGATACGGTGTTTTCGGTATTTACCAAGGTATGGTATTTTCGGTAATCTCCGAGGTACGATATTATCGGGTAATTACCGAGAAACGGCATAACACGGTAGACACTGGTATCAAAATTATAAATACCGTCAGTCCTGCGATGTTGTAAATAGGTACAACGGTTTTTGGAATTAATGTCACATAATTACAATATTATTGTGCGACGGTGAAATCGTATAGGTAAACGTTCGTCCGCAAAACGCAGTCGGTGCCTTCATCTTTATTCGTTTATTTAGGGTCTCCGATATAATATTATATATATTTTGACCTCCCGCTGAGTCCATTAAACGAATGATTTACCGGATGAACGAGTCATTAAACTCGAACAGCGATACATATACACACGATTTGAAATATGGAGTATGAAAAAAAACCACCGACGCTGGTGATTAATTTTATTGGACAACCGCGGGTGCTGTTCAGCTACGATATTATAATCATTTTTTCTCGGTACCTATGATTATTTTCGAATCGAGTCTTCGAAAATAAATTTAAAAACACACCCAGCACCCAATGTACATATTCTATATGGGTACGTTATCATATTATAATAACATTATTATTATGATAATTTCCTCTGAACATGTTAATACAACACTAGTTCGTACCTACACGGTACATTGTTTAAACACTAAATTCAAATTAATATCCTTTATACATAACGGTCGACAGTCGTCTATTATGTTGATGGAACTGTTTTCCTCGTTAATAAATCACTTTGATGTGTATTATATTTCAGATTGCTGAAGTGATGTTGTTTAAAATGTAAACAAAAAAAACATGTTAAATGTTGTCTTCACATCAGAATATTTAAGAATAAAATATTAAACAATATTGCTATACATCCAAGTGTTATTTTGCGACATTTCACACAACGTATGATAATAAAATAAAACATACCGTTTTCGTTTTATTCTCGCGCACATTTGAAAGTTCTTAAAATGTTATTACATTGCGCAGTGTTGTCGCCATAGTACGGTATACATATAGTAACAGTGAGTGTTGGAGTGTGTGTGTGTGTGTGTGTGTGTGTGTGTGTGTGTGTGTGTGTGTGTGTGTGTGTGTGTGTGGGCGCGCGCGCGCGCGCGTGTGATTGATGATGATGAAATGAAAACGGAACAAAAGTGTACGGGATAGTGGCGACTGCAGTGCAGGACCACCGGTGTTCTAATCCGTTTTAGTTTTCGCGAAACAGATGGTCGGAAAAATGATTACAGCGAGACGCGACGAAGAGACAACGGCGACATGATATTTTCGAAATTCGCCGCCGCGGTCGTCTGTAGCTCACTCTCCGGCGATGCACAGAATAATATGCGTCACGCCGCACGTATTTAGTCGTCCGAATCGATAAACCGGGTACAATACGCGTCCCGGGGTCGGGACGTTTCGAAGTTAAATATTGGTTCACGTGCCCCGAGGAATACCGCTTTTGAATGGATGATATGCAAAACTTTTTATTAAAATGTTGACGGTCACGTATTGTATACGACGTGGTGAACACGGTACGGACGGTCAGGTGCGAAACGGTTTCCATCGGTCCGAAAATAATATAATAATATATATTCGCATATACCTACAGCTGCAGCGCGTATAAAAATATAATATACGTCTATACTATACGCGTAATATCTTAGAACGCAATTAAAACTTTGTGTAAAGATCGCTTCGACCTTAAATACATATATATACACGTTGTCGGTTAGCAGATATAAAGTGGTTTTTTATTTTAGTGGTGCACCTATTTTTTATTTTTTTGTTTTGTCGACGATATAAAACACTAAACGTCTTTTGTTGCATTTTTTTTTTCTTTTTCCGCCACAGATAAATTAGTTTAAAGACGAAGTAAAAAAGTTTTTTTACTCCTGCCCACGCGTACCTCGCGTTTATTTATACTGTATATACACAATTTGTACTTCACTATAAGTGCGTGGGTATTTTTTTTTTAACTTTTATTTCCTGCTCTTTTATTTATAGATGGTTATACGAGGGCTTGGAAGAAAGTCGGCACCGTCGGTCCGTCTGGCACCGGCGGACAGTTGGTCAAGTTGGACTCGGTGGTGTGGGCCGGCGGTAAAATGGTGCCGGCCGTCGGTCTGGGCAGACGGGCCGTGTACAGGGTGGTCACCGCCATCGGACCGCCGTTCGTCATGCACGCGCCCCTGCAACAGGATCGCCAGTGTCTACGCGGCATACTATGTTACCAGATGACGACGAGCAGCAAGGACAACATAACGATGATATTCAAGGACGTCAAGTTGGACGCAAACAAAAAGTGAGTCAAGCGCAGTTAAGCCTCTGAGAAACGCAGTCGAAACATCTATAGTATAATATTATACCAATTACCAAGGTATGCGATGAGTAGAGGAGAGTAGGAGATAGTGGCTAAAGTAGTTGTTACAGTTTTCACTATTTTTTTTTTCCAAACACTTGTGATATTATTCAAAATGGGTAATACCTGGAAAACAAACTAAACAAAAATCAAACACTCATGTTAAGTCAGAAAATTTTTTTTTTTTTAATTATGGTTATTTTGTATTGTCGGGCGAGTCGAGTTTCATTTACGTATTTTTCAATTATTTTCGAGTTCAATATTTGAGTACCTACTCAAAAAAAGTCAAGTACTCGACAAATTACATGTGTTCAAAAAAAAATGGTCGATTACTTGGTATTGCTTGAGTATTTTAAATCTACTAGAGTTTGGGTTTTTTGAGTAATTCATATAGTATTCACATTTATTTTTCGATAAAATACTATTTATAGTATTTTTAATTTTTAATCTTTTAAAACTGTAAAACGAATACTTGATTTAAGTCAAGTAGGTTCTTGTATTTACAAGTACAAAAAAACGTTTAGTCGAGTCGAGTCGAATATTCGACTAGAAAATGTTTCCAAATTCGAGTACTCAGCAAACACTAATATTTTGCGACAATCTACCCCGGTTGGTTGTCTCATCATCACGGGGTGAGCCCCGTCCTAGTTAAATCAAAGGATAGTCTTCATCAGTAGTCGGAAACCTGTTGCCTGCTAATCATTTTTTTATGGCTTGCAAACAGTACCGGATCTACAAATTATGTAACCCGGGGCACAACATAATATTAGCGCCCCTAAAAGTTACCAATAAAAAAATTCAGGCTGCAAAACATGTTGAATTTTCATGATATTTCATTATAATATTCTAAGAATATATTTTGATATAATTTTATCTGTTGAACTAATTAAGTATAGTAATCAGTATAAACTATAAAATAGCAGTATAAATATTATACTTATTGGATTTTTCCTAATCAAATTGATTATACACTCTGGCGTTATTCTAGTCAGAGTCAAAGATAATGACGACCGACATACTTCGCTACTGTATAAGGATCAATGTAGCTCGTGGCTCTGATATACGTATATCGTGTATGCATAACTGCGTGCGTTTGCAATAGTTTTGTAATTTTACTAGTGACTCCTAAAATAATTATGGCGACTAAGAAAAGAAAAATTTGTGATGAACATCAATGTTTAATTTGTGTCAAATCAAGAACTGCTCAATTCAAATAAATTGAATCTATCATAAATAGGTAGTAAACTCCAATTCGATAAAATGTAACAAATTTAAATCATATTTAGTTTGACCCTAGTGGCCTAGTATAAACACACGTGTGACAACAAGCTACTCGCAATTTGTGACAATAAACCACAATCTACTATTTGACAACAAATTAATTTTGTGAGTTATCACTTTATCAATAGGTACAGACGAAAATTACACATCAACGTATACGTTAATACATTAGTTATTTGTCAAGTTGTCAATTACAATGTTAGCTATAATAATACATACCTAAATTGCAAATATTAAATGTATTTACGGAAATAAATTAATCTTATAGACTTAAAGTTCCCTTTTTTCGTTTTAAAATTCGACCTAGACGACCAGAATCAGCCCACATAGCCAAGAAAAAAATTATTTATAATGAACATAATAATTAATACCATCTAGAGTTATAACTGGTATTGTGACGATTAATTTGTGTGACACCCAATCTTCCCTTATATACATAGTATTATTACTTACTATAACCGTATATGGTATATTACAATAAATTATTGTCTCCACGTGTATGTATCACAGGTTGTTGCCGGAGACCTATTGCTGTTTTGGGTTATCCATAGACCTGCTGGAAAAGATGTCGAAAGACTTGGAATTCGATTTCCACTTGTACTTGGTCGCTGACGGCACGTTCGGATCCCGGAAACTCCAGTGGAACGGAGTAGTTGGTGAACTTGTTTCCGGTACCGCACACATGGCATTTTGTCCGCTAAGCGTCACGTCTACGAGGTCCACTAGAAATTATACAACGCCGTAGAACGGTGCAGATTAAAACTGACAGGGTTTCATTTTTTTTTAGATCGAAGTTTGTAGACTTTTCTACGCCTTATTTCTACAGTGGCGTTTCCTTGATGGTCGCCCCGAAGAGAAAGACCAACGTGCCACTGCTCGCGTTTCTGTTACCACTGAGCCCAAACTTGTGGATCGCTATATTTGTGTCGCTTCACGTGACAACAGTGGCAGTAGCGTTGTACGAATGGTTCAGCCCATTCGGGTTGAATCCCTCTGGCAGGCAGAGATCCAAGAACTTCGGGTAAATATATTTGTGTTTTTACGGTTTCATACAGCGTCGAACAATAACTGTTATTCGTGTTCGCAGTATGCCCTCGGCGTTGTGGGCGATGTGGGGACTGCTCTGCGGCGCTCTCGTCAACTTTAAAGCACCAAAATCGTGGCCAAACAAATTTTTAATTAATGTATGGGGCGGGTTTTGCGTTATATTCGTGGCTAGTTACACTGCCAACATCGCAGCTCTAATTGCATCGCTTCTATTTCAAAACGCCGATGTGGATTACAACGATCGAAATGTAAATACATGATTGTATCGAACACTATCGTACGATTATAATATTAAAATACTACTGTAGTTGATAAAATGTACACTGTACGACTTGTACGTGATATTTAATTTTCAGATGTTCTTGATGAAAGTCGGATCGGCTAAATCGTCGTCTGCAGAAGTTTATTTGAAAGACAAGAATCCTGCTCTATGGCAACACGTTCAAAAATATTCAGTTCCCGACACGGCGTCGGGCATGCGAATGTTAAGGTATTAAGCAATTATTTACAATAATAAAAAAAAATGATCCTGTAAGATATATTATAACTATATAACTATAAACTTTATATTTTTAAATCAGCTTGAATTCGTGCTTAACAACAATATTTTAATTCAATGAGTCACGACAGTAAATGTCATCCGACACTCGCTTAAAAAATGTTATTGATGGATTGCAATAAGATCTTGGTTATATACGATTTTATTTACATGTCTGGCTGTCAGGAAGAATTAATGAACTTGGGCGATTTAGTATAGTAGATTGTAACGAGGATCAAGTTAGGAATATAATTTTGAGTTATAGTTAAGTGACAACGTTGATGTCTTCGTGATGGTTTTCGTGAGACATTATACGTGCGCCAGACGGATGTCGTTATTTGACTAAGACAAATATACTGGAATGCTTGGATGGTTTCTAGTGTTAGATGGTCTAAATGTGCTCCATACATGTCTGAATAGAATATATTATAGTCACACACTCACACATATTAAGGTCTAAATAAGGATTTGTAGGCTAGATACGTATTTGTTATTTCGTGGATGTTTGGGACGAAAAAGTGGTTGCGAAGTCTAGTCACATTATTACACGTTAACTTGTTTCATACTTTTTTAGAAATAGTCTTAAAACATTTCGTTTTTATTTTAAAAAATCAACGGTGCAAAGTTTTTTTTTGCATGATGAAAATAAGCTTTTAGTCTAAGAGGTTAATTGATTTGACGGGAAAAGATACAAAACTGTTTTAATATTAAAAAGAACATTATTCAGATTAATGGACTAAATTTAACATTTTTAAGTTAACGTATAAAATTATTAACACTTTTAATCTACCGGAAATGCTGTCTCATTATGTTGATATAATTTTAACTGCATAGCTTAATTTTAATTAGTAATTTCAGGTTTAAAAATATATCATTTTGATTTCTTATCGTGTAAACATTTTATAAAATATGTTATAATTAAGAAGTGTTCTTAACTAATATAATTTTGTTTTAAATTTTAGAAATGGTAGCTTGGACGTATTTATCGGTGACAAGCCCATTTTGGACTATTATAGTGGGACCGATCACGATTGTAAGCTACAGCCATACGGAGATCCACTGTATGACGACGTATACGCAGTGGGAATGACCAAAAACTTTATCTTAAAGGTCTGTTGGCTACTTTGCGTGTTATTGTTATAATTAAAATTGTTTATAATAATCGATTTTGTGTGAAACAGGAAAAGGTGTCTGCAGCTGTTTCGACATATATCAACAACGGTTTCATGGATATCCTACAAAACAAATGGTTCAGTGATTTACCTTGCGTCAACCGCGAACTGGAAACATCGGACATTGGGCAACCAACACCACTGGGCGTAGACGCATTTTTAGGAGTTTTCCTCATGTTGGGTTGTGGAATACTAGCGGGCGCCGTTATACTTTGCCTGGAACATGCTTTTTATCACTACGCATTGCCCAAACTTCGGCAGAAGCCTCCAGATTCAATATGGAGAAATCAAAATATGATGTTCGTCAGTCAAGTACGTCGAATGACATTGCTAAACCCGTCGGTATACAGGGCGTGCCATAAAAAACGGATAGATTTAAAAAACAAAAACAAACTAAAATAATTGATCGAATTAAATTGTTATTTTATTTACAAGATACTGTAAAAATATGCGATTTGTGCGTATGTAACACAACATTATCCATGTGGTGACCATCTCCAACGATACATTCGATAAGGTATATTATCCTTGCAATATTATAATATTAGTTATCTCACGTGGAGTTTCACTTTGACTGATCACTGGTTTGTGAAAAATGTCCCTACTACGAACTCGTCTTCGTGTGTCTTAGACAAAACATGGCGGCAACTGAAACTGCATTGGTCACAACCGACACAACAGTCTGAAGCCCTCTGCCTCCATCAAGAATAACCTAGTGATCCGAATCCATCCGTTTATTATGGCGCACACACCGAATCATTAGAAAAAAATTACTGTTTTTAAAAAACATTGTAACTAACTATAGTAATTACTGTAAATTGTAACACTGGCAGATAACTAACTTGTCATCTATAATATCACATTTTTTTTCCTTCCAGAAACTATACAAGTTCATAAATAGCGTAGAACTAATATCGCCTCAACACACGGCCAAAGAACTAGTGCACACTCTACGACAAGGCCAAATCGCCTCGCTGTTTCAAAAAAGCGTACGGCGAGTGAGTTTGCCTTTTATGCATCCGCAACACGCACAGGTTAGCATATGTTTACGAAAAGTCTATCACGGAAGGTTATAATATCGTTTACCCGTTCTATTGTTACAGAAAGAATTTGAGCGTAGGAAACGGAAAGGTCAATTCTTCGAAGTCATCGAAGAGATCCGAAGGTTTGTATGTTTTGATAAATGCATTGTCTGGCGCAATATTGTTATTATTATTAATTGTTGTTATTGTGTCTTATTATTGTTATTAAATGTGTGTTATTTGACCATTTGTGTTTATTCACTTTCAGAATACAAAGAGAAGAGAGGGACAATAAAAAACAAAACGTCAGATTGACACTATCGAACTCTCCGACCGCAGGACAGTCTCCGAAACGAACGACGGCGAAATTTTTGTCGCCGGCTAGGTAAAACTAACTTGCTGCATCTAATCATAAATCCTAAGCCAATATTAAGGCTGCCGAAAACACATTGTTATTTCGTCGTTTTGTGTACATTCTGACCAATAAGGAGGAGAAAAAAAATATATTTCTAGAAGTCCAATTAAAATAATTTTGAAAAATATTTGTACACCTTCTTATTTTTTTTAGGTTATGTAAGAAATGGATTTTCGAATTTTTTTAGTAACGCTAGTAAAGATGAGTTTTAAAAAAAAAGTAAATTCCTTTGGTACTATACTAATTAAATAGTAGAAAAAAAAGGAAAATCCACTTCCTACATAACCCAGAAATGAAAATAAGGAATTCAAATATGTTTCAAAGTTAAAAACTAGCTTTTGGTAGAATTTTTCTTCGCTTTTTGGAACTTTCGATTTGAAACTTTTTTGATCGCAAATAATAGTGACTTTTGAGTTGTGATTGTACATGTGTTACAGATTTCCAAGAATCTTAGTCGTAGTTTATCTTTAGTTGTATAAAGCGTTCGGGGAACTCACTCACACTAATGATCAGTATTTAATATTTATACACACACAGTCACACACCACTCACGATGATAATTGGGTATTGCCTAAATCCGACCCCTTAAAAATTTTTCACTTTCAACAGCCTTAACAAGATATATATATATGATCAAAAATGCGGTTTTCAGGTTGAGCCTGGGCAGACGTTACAGCAAGCAAAGGTCCCGGAGCTCGGGGAACTTGAGCATCCGCCGGTACAGCACAGACGTGGCTAGTTATTCGGAGACCGTAGGCCGACGACTGAGCCAGGGGGCGTCTAACAGCCCACCGGACTTCAACACGCGAAAACAACTGATCAGACGGTCGTCGGGAAACCCCAGCCCGGCGGACTCCAGCAGGATGAGCATATTTTCCGCATCCGAACTGATCGGGGCAAAACTCAGCAACAACAATTTGTACGTGGAAAACGATCTACCACGCAGCCCCAACCTCCTGTCTCCTGGTGTATTTTTTAGGTACAACTCGTCTATAAACTTCTATAAACAGAGCGATCCATGTATTAACTGGCCATTTTTTTTAAAGATTTTTACATATATAGTTTGAACTGTTAAAAATTGTAATTAACATAACACTATAGATTTTTACAACAACACAATTTCACCACAATGTTTTTAGATGTCCTAATTTATTTTTATGACTTCACTTATATTTAATTTCATATAAACAATTTTAAGTTTTATAATGCAACATAATATGTACCTACTTTGAGTTAAATATTATTTATACTTTCTATCGCATGAGGGGTACATGGGTACCTTTCGCACAAGACCCTAGTTATTAAATAAAAACCCCAATGGTTTTTTAGTTTTCAATATTTGAGGTACTCTGTATGTGAGCACTTTAACTTACTACCCTAAAGTATTTAGTTTTTGAAACTTCATCTAAAATTAGTTCTATAAATATAAAAACCGAATATCAAAAGCGCAAAGCTAATGATAAATTATCGTAAGTAAAAGTTTCCTGCAATAATCCGAAACAACCAAAACTTTGTTTTTATATTATAAAAAGATGCCAGCTGTGTTGAAGTTGTTCCCTGCAAATTTGAATAATTTTCTGAAAAGTTGGTTGTTATCAATTATTTGCATTTTGCATACTTAATTTTTTTATTGTTTTCTACATAATTTAGTTTATCTATACATACACTTCTTCTTGCTTCTTTTTGTTTAGATAGAATTTTTGATCAATTTTTTCTGTAACAATTGTTAAAATTGTAAACAAATTACCTGTACCTAATGGAATTTAAAATCCTTATTGGTCCTAATTTTTGTTGTGCAACCCTGGAACCAAATTTCTGCTCACACTTAGGATACTTTTGTGATTTTTCTATTTTTTTGCCAACAAGCATAAGAACCTGTCAACATAAAATCACTACTAATAAGTCGAGTTTAAAATGCATATAGTGCGCTTGTCGGTTAGTGAGATTACCTACGCGATTTTCAGGGAGGTTAAATTCTGTTATTGAGACCACTTCAGGTTAATACTCCCTTATATTATTTTATAACAATATTGTAGTTTTCAAGAAAAGAATCCAATTTATACTTGGAAAAACTAATATTTTGGAAATGTATCGTAAAATCCTGTAAAAAAAGTGAATAAGTATTATACGTATTGCTTGTACTTGTAAGAAATTGATGTCTCTGCTTATGCTTTACGTTTTAAGTTTTAATAGGTAGACCTTACATTATTTTGTCTTGTAGATTCCAAAATTGTATTAAAATAATATGAGGCAGTTGATACTTGCTGAATAGCCTGTGGTAGTCGTATAATATTAGAATAGAGCTAACCAGAGACTCGGATCACAGGTTGTTGCAGGGAGAGGGATGATTTGTATGATGCCCACCCCTCCTCCCTTAAAAAGGAGGTTCACAAGTTGTATTAAATTAAAACACACCCCTTTAAAAAAATGGGTTGTCGCGATAAACGATAAGTGACTACCTTCTATATTAATTGTTTGTTGTAAAATATATACTATAGTGTTATATAAATACCTGCAATTTCGAGTCGTATTAATATGTAAAAAAAAAATAGTTGACTCGTGAAAATCAGTGTGGCCGGTTAAACAATGCGAACAAGCTCAGTAGTTAGCCGGTACGCTATAGATCGCTAATTGTGCGACAACGTTTCAGGTCGAGTTTTTCGTCGGACACGTCGTCGTCGCGACCCGACTTGGGCATACAATCGCGGAAGTCGAGTTACTCGCAGGGACCGCCCCGGGTGGTGATCAACGGCGAACAGCAGCCGACCACCCGTCGCAAGTCGGACGACGAGCCGCCGGCCACGCTGCCGCGGATCGTGGAGGTGAAGCGGGCCCGCCGGTCCAGCGACGGGCACCGGCCGACCAAGAACCGCAAGACCGTGGAGGTGTTCCGGTGGCTGAGGCAAGCGCCCAAAACGGAGCTGGAGGCGCTGAGCAAGATGTCCGAGGACGAGATCAAGCACTGCATAATCCAAGCGCTCAAGGACAAGGACCCAACTTGATTGCAAGTCGACGGCGCCGGTGGTGGGGGCTGCGACGACGGCGACGACGACGACTACGACGCCGAAGACGCAGTCCCGTCGCAGTTCGCGTAACGCGGTCGCCGTCTCGACTCGCGGTGCAGCCGCAGCTGCAGCTGCAGCGGCGTCTAATGATTGTTATGGTACATCGATCGCATACAAGGTGCCATGTAAATGATTGTGATGAACGAAGAAAAAAAAAATGCGCTCATTGTTTTTGTTATTACCTACATAATGTTATGTTTCTCTCTACGTCTGTATTTGTTTCCTCCGATAATAATAATATTATTGTGTATAATCATCGATAGTATAAAAATAACAATAATGTATTTTACATTTAAATGTTTAATATTTACAATATTATACGGTAAAAGAAGACTGTCTGGCCGGATATTCACGACAAGCTCGTGGTCGTCATGTAAATGATTATTAGGTAAATCGATGCTCAAGTGCGTAGGTTAAGTGCTGCTGCGATGCTGTTGCTCTAGTTTGGAACGACCAGCGAGATAATGGGACGTCTCCATTTCGGTAATAACTCGTTATTATAATTATAATAATACCCAAATTGTTGTAAGCGTATCGAACCCGTTGTTCCATAATATGTAGTCGAATAATAATACTATATTATATTATTATAATATAATAATATTATTTTAAAACGTGTTTACATTATATACTATTATTATTACTATATATTATATTTTATGCTCAGATACAAATACTATATTATATTATTGTATACTGTAATGTTATCGTAAAATTATATTAAACTATCTGTTCATGTAAATAATATATTTATATATAAACTTAATAATATAAGTAATAATATTACTACTAGACATAGGGTCGTTACTATTATATATAGCTGTTTCTTGTTGATTCTTAAAAAAAAAATAATGTTTCGTCTATTTTCTACGTTTTTTCGTTATTCGTAATCACAAATAATATGTTTATATTACATTCAATATATATATATATGTATGTATAATAAGTATGAAGTGTGCCAGTGCATAATATTATTTTTGTTTTTGTCGTTGTTGATGAGGTTGAGCCAGGTTCGTTGTTTATTAGCAAGCGGTCGGTGGATTCTTCGTCGAAACCATACTGAAACCTAAAAAGTAATATATTAACTAATATATTGTGCGTATTAACTTTTATCATAATACAATATATTATATTGTTAGAATATCGAATACGGTACATCATATTATTTATATTTATATATATTATATATACATATGTATATGTTTGTGTGTGTACTGTGTACATCATATTATTATATATTGTCGTTTGGTTGATTTATTTAAAATTTAATTAAAGTCAATTAAAAAAAATCAATTAAAACCCTAGTTATTTCTTCAAGCGTGTATTGTATTATTATAATAGATAAGTTTCCTGAGCTCGTGATTATGATCCGTGTAACTGAATAACTTTTTGGCCGCACACAGAACGTCGTGCGATATTATAATAATTTCATAGTTAGTATAATTCATAAAATATATAATTATAAGCGCGTGCAGACAACGACGACGACCTTGAGAAGAACAGCTGCGGTGCAGAGTAAATAAAATTAAAAAAAAAAAACGAAAATGAAAAACTAAATCGACTACGTGTGTGCGGCCGATGGACTAGCGTTTTTAACTATATTATCATAAACCTAACATTCATATTATATTGTTTACACAGCTTTCGGAAACCAGCGTCCTCCTAGTGCAGACTACAGGTAACAACAATATTATCATCGTCGCACGTAATCATTTGACGGCGATCGAAAAACAAAACTCTGTCACCCCTATATAATTCTCCGCAGATAATATTATTATAATAAATTATGAGGCCGGACGACAACGTGTGACAAAACACATTAATTCGTAGTGTCCAAAAGAGGTGCGAAGAAGAGGATGCCATGCTGACGACCACGACGTATAATATTGTTGTTATCATACTACGATAATGCGACGTCAGTAATAATAATAATAATAATAATAAATAATAATAATAATAATAATACTAATGTTATACCCACAATCAAGGTGTGATAATATGTAATCCTCTTTGCATAAGCATAATATAATATAGTAATAATAATAATATTATTATTATTATTACGACGATATTATAATGAAAACTGCTGCGGGCTCGGCGACCAGCGAGGTACGTGATATGCCGCCGGCGACCAACAGGTTAGTGCGTGAGCGGAACCGATGATAATAATATCGCATATTATAGCCGAGGACACGCGCCCGCGTTTCCGCTCGAAGAGGGCACCACCGCCCGGTGGTGACGGCGGCGGCGGCCATAGCGCTAGTCGTCGGGCGGTGTCGCGTGTGCGCGCGCGAGTCCTCGCTGGCGCCGAAAATCAATATAGGCTCTACGGTCGTTTTTCTTTCGGCTGTTTTTCCTACTCGTTTTCAGTTTAATTTTTCCGCCCGTGACGGTAACCACTCGCCGCAACACCGCGCCAAACCGCCAAGCAATCGCCCGTATTCGAATAATATTCGTCTCGTCGTCGTCGTCTTCGGCCATCATTACGCCAAGATAAACCCGCGGACACGACGTTATCGCATACGACAAATCGGAGTCCTCGGCTAATCGCTCCTACCGTGCAAGGTACCTACACGTTTTTAAATACGCGCGCGAAAAATTTTCCACCGATAAAACACATATTATTACTATTATCATTATTAATTTAAAACGCGTTTCGTGCAGCGCATCCGATAAATCCGCGACACCAGGTGGCGCCCCGTCGTCTCGTCGTCGTCGTCGCGCGCATATCGATTGGGCTTTTGATCCTTTTCGCTCGCCGTGTCCGTGTTAGGTATACCTTCGCCCGCGCACGAGTGTGTACGTGTGGCGTGTGTGTGTGTGTGTTGTGTACGTGTGCGTGTGTGTGTGCGCGTATTTCCGGAACGTATCTCCTGCTGCACGTAGGTACACGGCCGCAGCCGCCGATGACAAACGTCTGAACTCGTAGAGGAACTGACGCACTTATCCTGCAAGTTTGCGTGGGAGGCGGTACGAACCCTACCCCCACCCCTCGTCCAGCGGTATTACAATAATATCATAGTCGCCGTCGAGTTTCGCACGAGGTAAGTCGTAGTGAGGTATAGTGAGGGTTACAGTGGTATTAAAATATATTATTATATACCAGATACCTGTTATACCGCGATATAGATATAGTGGGTTTTTTTTCAACCGACGCCCGTTTGTTTTTGTTGGTGCAGCGTCTTTCGTTTTTCCGGCGCACAGCAGCAAAGATGGCCGGCCAAGACGGTAAATGGCAGAAGGAAGGGTCCGACCAGAATTTCGATTACATGTTCAAGTTGCTCATCATCGGCAACAGCAGCGTGGGCAAGACGTCGTTCCTGTTTCGGTACGCCGACGACAGTTTCACATCGGCCTTCGTGTCCACGGTCGGCATCGATTTCAAAGTAAAAACCGTGTTCAGGCACGACAAACGGGTCAAACTTCAGATATGGGTGAGTGTCGATGGTATATCACAACCCACAATCCTTTTAAAAAATGTAATACTTATAGTAATAGTATTATACGCATATATTATATATACTCTGTTAGAGTCGTCCAAACGTCCGGTAATCCTACATCCTCCGCTTTGAAATATGCATAACAAATGTCACGATAATAGGTACATAGTAATATTATCATTATTATTGTCTGCTCCTACAGGACACGGCGGGCCAGGAACGTTACAGGACCATCACGACGGCATATTACAGGGGTGCCATGGGGTTCATTCTCATGTACGATATCACCAACGAGGAGTCGTTCAACAGCGTGCAGGACTGGTGAGCTTTTTGATAAATTATGTTTCCTATATAATAATATGACATTTATATATACAAGCACGTAGGTACCTATTCTTACTGTATACCCCGCAGGGTAGTCCTAATTTCGTTGTGAGAGAGGTCGTCGCCGGGTGGCGGGAGGTGGGGGCTACGTCGATTACGGACTTTTTCGTAACACGACCACTCTGTGTATCCGGTTCTTATCACGTATATACATGATAACGATATGACCTACTATATGCAATAGAATAATATATGATATTACATCACCTTATCGGTGCCGAATGAAAAGATTATGTGATATATGATTTTGTACTTACCACCCATCATTCGCAGGGTAACACAGATCAAGACGTACTCTTGGGACAACGCGCAGGTGATACTGGTGGGCAACAAGTGCGACATGGAACACGAACGTGTGATATCGTACGAGCGGGGCAAAACGCTGGCCGACGAGCTGAACATCGAATTCTTCGAGACGTCCGCCAAAGACAACCACAATGTCAAGGTCGGTGCAGTACAACACCCGTACAACAATAATATATTACTATAATATTATAATGATGATGATAAACCTGCAGCGCAATATGCAAGGTAGTATCAAAATAGGTGCACGCGCTCCACATGAAATGCATAATACTATAGTGCATAACGCACAACGCGGTGTTTATACGGTGTGCGAGTGCTTATGTCGCTGTTATATGGGTCTTACATAGGTCCTATTATAATTTGCACCGTTTCCCGAAAACCCACATCGTCTGTACATAATTGATAACACTATGCATACATTATTATCAGGTATGTGCGTAATCCCGCGAGGACGACGTTATTATTATTTTTGCGGTCGTCCGCGCCCCGAACCAGCCCGGGCTGTTATCGTCGTTTTTAATGCGGTTCGAGTGCAGGTCGAGATTATATATTATTATAGAGAGGCGTAGGTGGTAATCGCGGGGTGTATATATGCGCAGAGTTTTATCGTCGAAAAATGATTAATCGTCGCACTCGCACCCGAAAACTCCCTCGACTGCCATCAAGATACGTCGTTATACACATATAGAGCATAATAATATGTTGTACGCAACACGATACATTGAATATTATTATTTATTATTTGCCAGCCTGCGCGGCAGTAAAACCGTCGCCGGAGCTGAACATTATATATATATATTATTATATGTAATATACGCGGTCTGCATCGTAGCGAATATATTATTATTTTTATTATTGAACATACAGCATGATCGTTTTGCTATCACAACACTCGATAGTACTCGTACGGGGTTAATTTCTGTCGATCCGCGAGCGTTTTGCGACGAAAGAATCGCCCTGTACATCGACTTTTCATTATATATTATTTCCTTCCGTTTAATCGGTCTCTCCGCGCTCTAATAAATTGGGTCCGCAGTCTATTATTTTGTTTATATATATATATATATATATACTTGGTGCTTTTGACAATATTGTTTCTTGGCAAACCTTAATCCAATAACGTAGTACGAGCTCAAGAGACGTCGTCGCCTAGGGCGGCGACACAGCAGTAATCAATCGAGTCCGACCATCACGCTGCGGGTCCGTTCCTCGCGACACGTGCGCAACACCGCTTTTCGGGCATTTCGAGTTTCCTTGTGGGTCAACTCTGGGCCGCCGGGTCGATTTCCGGATACTTTGTCTTACGGCCCGCGGTGGTAATGAAATAACATAATAGTAATAATAATAACAATCATACACGACGCATCTTAGCCATCGTGACGACGAGGATCCGCGATGACGTGGTTGTCGACAGGCTGGTGGTATTTCCTCGCCGCCGTTGATAAATCTGTCCCGGATAGATCGCATACTCGTGCGAAATCACGACGCGATTGGACAGAATGAACGCCAATGATATGCATGGTTTTACAGCGGCGGGGAAAACGACTCGGGTGGGCATAATAATTGCAGCAACCGCGGGCGAATAGGGAAAAACGGCGGCGCCTCCGGGAGCGTGAAAAAGCGGAAAAACACCGCCGTCGACAATCAACCGGTAACCCCCACGGCGTGTATACTCAATTATTTCCACTTGCCGGGTAAACGGCGTAATTACGTTGCGGGTGTGCGGCCGTCCGGACATAGTTTATATTATGTAATTACGCGAGACAGAGTGTGTTCCGAAATAATGATTCATCCGATCGTGTTTATTGGTTGAAACTTCAGTGTAATTTTACACTGCAGGCCGGGACGGGGATAATATGCCAGCCATTATACGTTAATTTTTCCGTTTTCGTTGTACAATGTATACTCACAAATATCAATGTGACCCACATTCCATGCACACATCTATATAATATAATAAGCGATATTTTTGTCATTGTCCTGCACTCTGCAGATCTCCGTTGGACCTTATCGTCAGCCATTTTTTTCCTTAAGTCGTTCGGGGTTACATACAAGACAATCTTTATGCACCATCTCTTCTATTCATATATATATATCTACAGTAAAAATCGTTTATAATGACACCAGTTGTAGTGACATATCGGGTTTTAAGACCTTAAAGTAAAAGACCCAAAAATGTATAGTTAAGTTTTACAATTTAACTTTTATCGGCAGTTATGACTATCGGTTATTGCGACTTATTTTCCTCAGTCCTTTTAACTTCGTTATAAACGATAGGTACTTACTGTAATTGATGAACTGAAAATTCGCATTACAGAGTACAGGCGCCCGTCTTCACTTGATGACGGTCGTCATTCTCTAACGGGTTTATGAGAAATTTGACTATTGCTCAGATGTGACGTATTCCGTGCAAGTTATGCGAGGGTCACCGGTCGCATTGAACATTATATTAAATTGTTCCGTAAACATTGCAACAAACATATTTTAATGACGTAATAATTGCTAACTTTTAAGACTTGAATCAACTTTTTTTTGCACATATTTTACCATAAATATTAGGGTGATTTTTTTTTAAATCGGATGAATCATTATTGATCAGTCCGTATAAAAAAATTCAACAGTGCCGTCATCCATTCATTCTACATGATCAGCGCTTTTCGTTGACGACCGCGACGTCCCGATACCGTAATAATAGTAGGGACCTACTTGGTTATGGGTACATAAAGATTTATTATATTGTGATGACGTCGTACATCAACTGCAGATATCGGCAAGCGGCGGAGTATGAAAATTTTTTTATTAATTTCAAAACACTCATTAAGGCGTATTACGGCGAATCATAAAAGTTAAACAGGAACAAAGCGATTTCACATGAGCTGTTGCGGATATCGCAGTAAATATCTTATAACAATGGCAAACTTTTATCTCCACGCTTGTGTATACGAGCCGTAGACTTCCAAAGTAAAGACCCCATAATTATAATATAACCACCGCCGGAGCTTTTCAGAATATTGTTCTTTTAAACACCCCAAAGGCAGCAAAATATATATTAATACACAGCGACTATATACGGTTGAGCGACAAAAAGGTTTTAATCGCTTGCAAATACCGTCTCCCGTTTAAGGAAGACTTTAAACTTTTTAAATTTCATTACGTTAATTAACGTAGACGGCGCTTATCCGCGACACCTTTCGACTTAATGTTTCGCAATTACAATATTTTTCTTCAATACCGTCGCCGGTTGTCGCGGGGTTCGGCGCAATTTTCGTGGGAGCATAGTCGGTTTATTCGACAAAATCTTACGGTTCCTTCATATATTTTCACTTACATGACGTTACGTATTTGGAATATTATTTTACGAGTTCCTTACCAACAGGTATGGCTTACAACTTTTCTCATTACGAATTTTGGCTTCCCTGTACAAGTTTAAACCTACATAATATGAGTCTAACCATGACTTCAGACTTGATTTACTAATCCATCTTAATTTATTTTCTAATTTACTTAAGATAGTAACTTGCACGACAAGATTATAATTTATAACATTCCGCTTTTATAATTGTGAAACACTGAAATGTACCTAGGTAAACCTCCAGTATCTTGAATATTATTGTATAATTGGAAAAAGACAATTAGGCGCCAGTCTACATACCAAACAGAGTTAATTAATTTTGGTTTAATGGTGTATACCAAACAACTTTAATTGCACATAGTATATTTTGTGTTTGAGTTGCTATACTATATTATTATTATTCAGGTTAAGGTATTATAATTCTTGTGGTAAACTACAGTTTTTCAAAATCTCTTTGCCCTCTACTGAAAATATAAAGTATGTTAAATAGTCAAGTAGATAAATTTATAAATTTTATTATTTTATGTTAAAGACTTAAGTATTGAAATTTAAAAAACACTCACGAATAGTAAGTATAAAAGCAGTCGTAATTAAAAGTGAAATTCCACGGGCTTTTTAATTTAACTGTTAAAGCTATGGTGGAATTTCCGATTAAAGTTTCCAAAATAAAAATTTCAGATACCACGTATATCAACCACGTCTTTAAAATAACCAATTTAAATTAATAATAAAAACACCGTCAACGGTTTCCAACTTAAAACGACTGATATATTATTACATCTACTACATATTCATCGAGAACTAATAAAAGATGACCTGTTGTAGGTACTCGTGTATTGTAGGTCAGTCGGTGCAATTTGTAATATTATTTTATTGAAATAATAAAGACGATGAGGATAATACTCATATGCAAGACGCGCCTAATATTATGCACTAAAATGTACTACTATTATTTACTCACGACAACACCATATATTATTATAAACCATTATAATGGCATTAATTATTGACGTGCGCGTATGGCATGCGACTGTGTATGGTTTTTGCACAATTAAATCAAAAATGATCTGTTTTGTTTGCAGGCCGTGTTCGAACGACTCGTCGACATCATATGCGACAAGATGTCCGAGAGCTTGGACTCGGACCCGACACTGGTGGCCGGGGCCAAGGGCACCAGGCTCACCGAACAGCCGCAGGGTCCGAACAATCCGAATTGCAACTGTTAAGAGTCTTGTACCCGGTTTCGGATACCCACCACGGCCCCGCGAGATACTTCAAACAACAAAACCCGTCGCAGCAGTATACCGAAACACACAAAAAGACATTTAACAGAATTAAACAATTACAAAAACCAAAAAAAAAAACCTCAACATTTTCAAACAAACTATACACTAAAACCGATAACCTTGGACAGCGGGTCGTTCATATATATATATATTATATATTATTGTAGGCTGAAAAGCAATGAGTACTTAACATACAACACACATAATATTATATATGTACTTACGTGTATTGTATATAAAACAGTGTTATGATAGAGCCACTATCTCATCTGCAGATATTGTTTTAGAGACGTCGTGTGTCCGTTTTCTTGTTACTGTTTGTTTTTCAGCGAATGCTTCGCTAAACAAAAATTTACACGAAATTGTCACATAATATTAATATTATTTAAATTTAAATTTAACAATAACAATGTACAATTTACTGGTAGGTACTTATAATAATAATAACATAATATAATACCTACCATTATATTCTACGCCGGACAATAATCATTTTTTTTTTCGATTTTTACGGTTTTAGTCGAGTTATCACTAAATATTATTAGCCGCGACCGTACTATGTTTCTAGCACAACACTTATTACGACGTTACCTATATATTATAATACGACGAGAAATTCAAATAAAAAAAAAATTTAATTTTGACGTGTTTTTGAGCGGATAGAAAACAACGCGTATACGATTGAAAATTAATATCAGTTTAGGTACTGATTCCCAAAGTTTGCAGCGGCAGCAGTGTTTTTTTTTTTTTACTCTCGTGTTTATGATTTATTCAAAATAAAAAGATGAGTTAAGGTGATGGTAATAATAATGTAAAAAAAAAACTTGTGCGCGAGTGCTTTCTGCGACGACAACCGATGACATCGAGAACAAAAAAATCAAATTGTATTAACTTTCGATCACGTTCGCGGCGAACACTCAATACGGAATATTCGGTGTATAATATAATAATAATGGTAATAAAATATTGCTATATCTTATACTTGACAACGAGTTGACACATTTTTCTTTTGTCTCCGTCGAGCGGCGGCGGTCCTCGATCTAGATTCCTCGGTCGGTGGTAGGTAATAAATGTTGTGCACTACATGGTATTAATTTACAATATTTATGCCAGCCACGTCGTAATATATTCTTTTAGGGTGCTTTCGACGATACAATATTCGACTGCGTTGTATATAATATATATAATAATACACTTATACCTGTTTACCAGCACAACGACGACAACAACGATAAAAGTAATATTACTATCGATAACAGACTGATTATTATTATTACTATAATAAAATTCGTCAACGATTATCGCCGTCGATAAAAAATATACTTTTCTCATAATATTATTAAATTGTGCGCCCGAATGAATTTATAGTAAAATAATAATAATATAATTACAGTGTAGGTACACGGTCGCAGACCGTTCTTATATATTCCGCACCACTCGGCGTGTAGTTATATATATATACATAATATCTAGTTGAACTATGCTATGACTAGTACTTACTACTACTACTATTACTACTACTACTACTACTAATACTACTACTAATTAAATAATAATAATAATAATAATAATATATAGAGGTACTCGTGTTAAAAAGATTTTCTAGTCGAATGATGTTGATGCGTGCACTTTAGTGACGCGTGTATACACATAGAGCAGGTAGTTTATTATTATTATAATATTATATAAAAAAAAAATTAATAATAATATTATATTATATATATATATAGCAATTGATTGTTCGTTTGGTCTTGATGTTTGAAATTTATCCCGTAAAAAATGAAAATCGTTTTCAAAAACGAAAAAAATTATTACCTACAATAATATGCCATTTTGCATTACACGGTAAATAACAACGTTAACGTGTATTATACATATACATATTTAATATTTATAAATAATTGTATTTGATTTTTGACTACAGTTAATTATTATTAATTATTATTAATTATTATTAATTATTATTATTATTATTAATTATTATTATTATTATTATTATTATATTATTACAAATTTATTAATATATTATAATATATAGGTAATTATTATTTCGTGTATAGATAAATTTGAATAAAAACTATCAAACCAAAATCGTATTCGTATTTTAACTGTTTAATATTTATAATTAATTATTTATGTATGATTTAGTGGAATGTACAATAAGTTTAACCTTGTTTTATGAATTATTTCTGATGTTAAAGGCACAGACACCTGCACGCTGTAAGGCATTAAATGTTTATATTGTGCCTATAGGTACCTATATAGAAAGTGGCTAAATAAGTTTTTTTCTATTAAACTTGATTATATTTTTGACTTTCCGTCCATAATTAATTGTAATATTATTGATAGAATTTGTTGACATAGAAGGTACTAAACCGATGTAAAAAAAAAAAAATGCTTATAATATGACATAAAAACATTGCAAATGACTCAATACCACGGTTTAAGATATCTTAAACCGTGCTCAATACACATTTTATATTTATCTTAGAATATGTGGAAGGTGCCTAAAAGTAACATTGGTCAATAGTTTAAGCTAGATGCTAAGAGAAAAAAACCATCCGCTTCTATTGAAATGAATTAAATTGACCTAAATTTATAAAACATTGTGATTTGTGATCAATAATATTTTTGTTTTGTTATTAAATAATGACCTATAAATATTATGTTTAAGAGGACGGGAGAGAATACCTTCGTGTATTTTCTCCGTCTTACAAACGTTATACAGCATAGAGCATTTACCAAGTTCATAATTGCAATCCATTTTTCTATTTGTCATTTTTAAAGTCAAGTGACTCATAACACATTTTAAGGTACAATTATTATCTAGACGTCTCGGAAGCTTTAATTGATATTTTAATTTTCAAGCAAATTATGTTAGTTTTCCCAAGCATCACAAATTCGAGAGTCTTATAGTATGCTCATTGCTCATTAATTCGATTCTACTTAAATTTTCGTAATTTAAATATCACTAAAAGCCTCCGAGATTATCTAGAAAATATTTTATAATCTTACCTTTACGTTTTATAATATTCACAGATTTCGATATTGCCTTCTTTATAATTTTAATTTTAAAAACAACAGAGTAAAACGGATTATTGTGTGAACTCAAAATTTGCCATGTACGTTTGTAAAATGAAGACAACACATACTGGTGTGGTTTCCACAGTTAACATTGTTAATATTAAATTATTAAAACTTATATTTTCAGTTTCAAATGGAATTATTAACGTAGGTGTGTTTATTATTTAATGTCTATGATTTATATAAATGTCCAACTTCAGTCAATTCACCCGACATAATTTTATCGTTATATGTACTTGAAAAATTCAATGACGCCTGCAAGACTCGAGTATATAGTAAACATTAAAATGAAATAACATATACGATGTACCCGTACACTGAATACTGATTAGTATAGTGTGTATAAATAGTTTAAACCAGTGTTTCCCAACCTTTTTACTACCACGGATCACTTCGACAACATTTTATAGGTCGCGGATCACCTCAATTTTACGCAAACTAGGAAGACCTTTTTTTTGCTCATTAACAAGAATACGCAAAATTTATTGAAAATTTTTTATTATTTTACTGTACTATTTTATATAATTATTAAACTTTACTAATAATTTACTTAGTGTGATTTTATTACGGTAAAATAAAATATTTTTCGCTGTAAAAAAATAATTTTTAATAGAAAACTAAGGTACCGCGGACCACCGGTTGCGAAACACTACTGGTTTAAACGATCTATAGCAGTGTGAATTGTTCTTATCGTCATGAAAACAATAACCGAAAGTGAAAAGTATTTTTGAAGAAAATCTTATCGTGTGATATAATAGGTAACAGAAGACAGGTTCGTTTTCTAGATGCAATAATTTGATGAATAATTATTATGTATATTAATAATTTATTTTTAATGTCTTAGAACTGAGAATAATAATACTCAAATAAACTGACCAGCGAAGCGAAACCCCTGTGTTCTATATACACCTCATACATTATATTCCTGTCTGGTCTTGTTTTTAATGTTTTTAATTATTTATATCGTAATAATGTGAATGTATATGCTATCACTGTTATTATTATTTGTATTACTATGGTAGCATAATAATGCTGGCTCACATCCGTAACGACAAATATTTTTTTCTGTTGAAAAAAAAGCGCTATTCATTTAAATTCATACACATTATAGTGTATTATGGTTTGTATAGAGTGTACAGGACGAATATCTCAACACGCATTCTCTACAGCGTTATCACGACAATTGCCAGATAACGGATTTCAAATTAAAATGTATATACTCATTAGGCAAACTGCCTCGGGTCTTTGTAGACAATGAGTGTTTTTTTTTCTCATATCGTCCGTGACCTAGTTTACAATCGAGCCGCAACGTTTGTATACGTACATAATAATATTATTGTGTTTAAAACACGCGGGGTCGACTTCCGGTTTTACACTGCAGCCGACATCATTGCGTAATATAACGAATTCGCTGTGGACATTATGCCAAGCCATACGGGTGTATGTTAAGCACGTAAAACTACAATATCAATAGTAAATAATTATTGTAAATAATGTTTATATTATTATTTTCCGTTCTACAGACACGTTTGTTTTATTAAAAATATTTCATGATTGACCATTATTAATAAATTGCAAAAACTAAAATCGTCTTTCTACTCATATTGATATAGTATCTGTGGTTTATCACAAATCATAGCAAAATTATTTCATCTATGACCCAACTATTATCAACCCAATTATGTCAACATTGTTTTTTTACTTTATAATTATTTAATCGATACAAATACTTAAAAAACAGCCATAATATTATAAACAACGGAAAGTACATTATTTTATGTGTGTAATCGGCGTTAAATATAATTGAGTGTTTATCACTTCGTTAAGTTTTGTATTACACGCCATCATGACCACTTGATAGTTGCTTCCCGATACAAGGTTCACAATCAGGCACCATGGTCAGTGGACCCACGATAGTGTTGTAGCCAAATTAACCAAATTAATTTATCCTATTCAGGACGC